TCACTATAAAACCAAAAATATTACTTTTGCCACCGTTACCACTACTATCATATTTCTTTGCTACTAAACACTTTGCTGCAGATATTAAGTTTTCAAGTGTGGTTGAATTGACAACTCAGCTGCTAATACTTGAGAATATTCTTTGGCTCCCCTTGTGTCGAATCTATAAATTTGGGTTGAATACTCTACCCTCGAAAACTATTACGATCCCCTATACTTGTGGGTTATCACCCGTCTGTATGGCTGCCTCTTTCGCCTGGCGAATTGCGCAACCGCTATTCCATTGAAAAGAGTGACAATTAATAGTCACCACCGCATTTCACACATGTTTCCCACCCGCGCGAGCGTAATCTGCCTCAGTTTTCCATGGGAGCATGCATATTCGGGGGTATATAAGCCCCCTCGCATGCCTTCATCGATACCATATCACTCCCTATCTCCCCCCTTCCTCATCGCCGCCACACTCACCTCTATCAGCCCCTTCGCTGGCTACCACCCCACTCAATATCTTCTACCTTCCCGTCCCCGTCACAATGACCCCATCGACCATGTCACATTCACGACCTCCCTGGTGATACTGAAGAAGACCGCTTTGAGAGAGAGCTCCGGGAGAGGGTGTGGGAGTACTCCTAGTGGGGTGAGGAAGACGCTCGCTGTAAGGCTGAATCAGCCTTAAGTTGTGACCACCTCCTTGCTGCCCTCGCTTAGTTTGACTGCATGTCGACGGCTTCCTGGGTAGAAATGGATGTCGTGCACACATCAGCCTTCAAAATTACGACCTTGTTCCACATCCAGGACATAGGCATTCATCGACCGCATGGCCACGATAGTCATGGAAGCCAAAGCCTCCCATGCCTGGGAGGTCACTTCCTAAGGGAGGAAGAACATGTAGTTCAAATTCTAGTAGAGAATCACAATTCAAATGGTTGTTAAAATCCTAGTGTAATCCATGTTGAATTCTTGTTGAAATCCATGTTCAAATCTATTCCTTCCTTTTCCGGTTTATAGAGCCCAATTGAAAAATCTCACAACCAAGGTAGATGATGAGTGGTGGAATAATTTTTGTAGTTTACAAAATACTCATTTAATGAACTCGTTTTGTCAAGAAATTGTTTACCAATGTATTAATTGTAATTCATGCATGGGTGGCCAATAAATGATCAAGAAATTTTACATGCATTGGCAACGATTTAATGCACCTTGAAATCTGAACATGTGAATGAGAGCAATAAAAATGAGACTTATAAATTGAGAAAACATTTTTTTAGATAAGCCCTATAAACCGAAAAGGGAGGGAATAATATGGTAAAACTTTCATTGTTGAGGTGGGGAAGGAAGAAGGCTTGTAGCAAATGAAAAACGGGTTCCACATGGTATTTTCTCCATAAAAACAATCTCGCGAATGTCAGATTTTTAGCTCCTCTCAGCAAACGCAATGGCTGCCGTTAGATGTGGCCACACATATCTTGATGCGCGGTTGCTAGCCATGTCAACTTTTGGAAACTCTTACGTTACAACACAAAAGTCGTGTGAATGCATCCTATTCAACACAAACCACCCACCGCACTCGCTAGCGCCTCAAGCTCCACTCGGGGAACCTAGGATCAAATCCTGGTACCTCCCTTTTTCTTTTTCCTTTTACTAGGTGTCAAAATATGTTTTTTAGGTGCATGTCAACTTTTTTGGACATAAATGTATATGGCAGTTTTTTTAATTTTCTTGAACTAGTCACATGGCAATTTTAAACATTTTTAATCTTCACACATCAAATTGTTTTGTACAGATGGCATTTCTTTAGAATTTTTTGTTTTGATCCCATGGCAAATTAATAATAATTTTTATCTTCCAAAGATGACAATTTCAGGGTCTTTTTGTAATGCCCCATGCCAAGGTTTGAGAATTTTTATCGCTTATTCACGACAATTTTATTATTAAAAGCATGTCATTTTCATTTTTGATAACATGACAACTTTATTATCAAGAGCACGACAATTTTAGTTTTATGAGCATGGCAAATTTGTTTTTAATGCATGGAAATTTTATTTATTTTTTATTATGGAAATTTATTGCATGTGTTCTTTATGTTTTTGAAAACAAAAATATAAAGCATGGCAACTTAAGTATTTTTTACACTTAAATTGCAATGAAGTATATTTTTTAACATCATGTCAAATTATGAACTTGTTGTAGTATAACTTTTGTACATTTTATTTATAAATTAGAGGATGACAAGTTTAAATGGTACCTCCCTTTTTCTTTTTCCTTTTACTAGGTGTCAAAATATGTTTTTTAGGTGCATGTCAACTTTTTTGGACATAAATATATATGGCAGTTTTTTTAATTTTCTTGAACTAGTCACATGGCAATTTTAAACATTTTTAATCTTCACACATCAAATTGTTTTGTACAGATGGCATTTCTTTAGAATTTTTTGTTTTGATCCCATGGCAAATTAATAATAATTTTTATCTTCCAAAGATGACAATTTCAGGGTCTTTTTGTAATGCCCCATGCCAAGGTTTGAGAATTTTTATCGCTTATTCACGACAATTTTATTATTAAAAGCATGTCATTTTCATTTTTGATAACATGACAACTTTATTATCAAGAGCACGACAATTTTAGTTTTATGAGCATGGCAAATTTGTTTTTAATGCATGGAAATTTTATTTATTTTTTATTATGGAAATTTATTGCATGTGTTCTTTATGTTTTTGAAAACAAAAATATAAAGCATGGCAACTTAAGTATTTTTTACACTTAAATTGCAATGAAGTATATTTTTTAACATCATGGCAAATTATGAACTTGTTGTAGTATAACTTTTGTACATTTTATTTATAAATTAGAGGATGACAAGTTTAAATGGCAATTGCAAATTTATGGTTTTTCTCTGGCCTTTTCTGTATAAGGATTTTTTTTCCGTTGTTGATTTTTTGAAAAAAGAATCAGCCAAATGGTTCTCTGAGCCAACAGGGTGGGGGTGGGGGAGGGGGGGGGGTCGCGATAGACCACCCCTGGAGCGAACACTCGAGGGAGAGAGTTTCCTTCGTTGGCTCGATCCTCTCCCAGCAAACAAATTGTTCGCTAGGGGGAACCTCCCCAACCGGTGGTTGTCACATATTAGACTACCCACAATGGGAGTAAGGCTAGTCACAATGGGGAGGAACTTAGGAGTAACATCACACACTCCAATACAACTTTGCTTATGTGGCACATATTTAATGAAGAGAAAGATACTTGTGGTAACTAGCTAAGTTACCGGAACATCACACACTTCAAGAAACAATGAGTCTATAACCTAATAAATACATCGTTGCATGACACTACATAGATGTTCCTACCCACTATGAAGGTAGTAACATAGTCTAGGGAAGTTTGTAAGTTACTAGTTTATGTTCTTGCCCATTGTGACCAGCCTAATATAGATAGTAACATCACACATATCTAGATAAAATAGATGATGTGGCAAGCAATAAATAAAGAAAGAGAGGCATGTGGTAACATAGCTATTTACTACTAGTATGAGTAACATCACACATATCAAGACAAGATGTGTCTATAGCCCAATAAATAAAGTGTTGCATGTTACCACACATATGTTTCTCCCACTAGAGAGGTAGTAACATAGAGTAGTAACATGGGCATGTTACTACTCTATGTTACTACCCATTGTGGCTAGTCTTAGGGTCCTTTTTTTAAGGGTATGTTTATTGCGATTCTTAACTACGTCTATGTCTTTTAGGCATAGCCGGTCCCAAGCCCCGGTAAAGGAGGAGGGTTGTGATAGACTTGGCGAGCCAACATAAAAACTAGCTAGTCCCATATGGTGACCTCCTGGGAAGTCCTCGTGAAAGGGTTTTATATATAAGGGTTGTGATAGGCTTGACGAGCCAACGTAAAAAACTAGTCAGTCCTTTGGGTATGAAATTCATTTGGGCGAGATCAATATTAAGATGGGTGACCTCCTGGAAAGTTCTTATGAAAGGGTTTCATATCTAGCCTAGCTCAATTTGTTTGGGACAAAAGGCTTAGAAGAAGAAGATGTTTATAGCGATGACGACTCTACAATGGTTGCTACCAAGGACCTTTTTTGAAGCAGGACGTAGTGCCGAAGTTCTTGTGGCCCGTGTCTTTTAAGACATAAACCCTGCTCGGTCAGCATATTCACACTTGGAGATCAAGGTCCACAATCATCATGCACGTGTGTGAAGCCGAACAATATAGCACAAACCTGCATGTAACACGTACCCAAGGAGAAAACACACACCATATCTAGCTAGAGAACAAGATATGTGATGGTGTAGAGTATATAATACTCCGGAGAGGTAAGCAGCGCATCCTAAACTCCCTGTCATATGACCACATATTAATTAGCCGTAGATATTGTTTAGTGCATAATCCATAGCAAAGCGTGCATAGAGCTAGAGGCGTGTCGCCAACAATCTGCCTACGTCCCGTCAGAAAGCGACGTAGCTAGCTGTTCTACATACGTACGTACTCTAGCAATCATTCACCCTATTAAGTACTCTACTCCGTATTAGCTGCCACAATCAGCATCACCAACAGCAAATTAAAATACGTACGTCAGGAAGTGATAAAATAATACTGGTACGGTAGCAGCTACACGTTTTTTGACATCCCATGATCGATCGATCGGCCGGCCGGTACCCGAATTGACCCCCACGATCGATATTCGCCGCGAGATCGATGAGAACCTAGTACTACCGCGTTCCTTTGCGGCAATAGTATCTGTACCCGCCGCCCCCAGAGGCGGCGGCGGGAATGTAACTCCGGTGCCACACATCGGCCTCGCTGTCATGCTAGCTCCAGCTAGCATGCACGGCTTGACATAGACGACCCCCGCCAGTCCTCTCCACCCAGAACCCAACCCAACCCCCGGACACATATAAAGCCGGGGCCTGCGCTGCGATATATTGCAAGCGAGACACGCAGACCTTGCTACATAGAAGAGGTCCGGGGTCCAAATCGAGCTATATATGGTGCTGAGTGCTTACGCGATGGAGAGCGCGAGTCTCGGCGTGCGGTACTTCGAGTGGCTCAGGCCGCGGTCACCGCGGGCATCCTCGCCGTCATCGGTGCCGGCCTCGCTCTCGTCGCCGTCGAGTGATTTCCTGGTGCCCGGCAAAGATCATCCAAGCACCATGATGTGCCTGCCGCTCCTCGGCAGGGTCGGGGCTGGGGAGGAGACGACGAGCGGCGGTACCCCTGTTGGCGCGCAGACGAGCCCTGTCAAAGAGGAGCTGAGCGGTATTACGGAGGACGCCGGTGTTGACCTGAACATCGGCTTGCCGGCCGGTGGCGGATATAGTTCTGAAGAAGAGGTGCCGCCCATGGCCATGTCCATGGACGAGGATGAGGAGGAGGAGGAGGAGGAGGTCGAGACTGACGAGGAGGAAGAGGAGAAGCCAAGGTACGAGAGGTGCAAGGTGGAAGCAGGCGTGCACGTTGAACACAGTGAGATGTTGGTCGAGTCAGTGGAGGGATCAGACCTTGGATCCGTGGGCGGGGAAGAGAGCAGCTGCTGCCGCCACCGGCGGTTCTGGATCCCGACGCCGGCGCAGATACTCATCGGCGCGGTGCAGTTCGTCTGCCACGTCTGCAGCAAGACCTTCAATAGATACAACAACATGCAGGTGACCGATCCATGCCCCGCCCTTAGTTTAATTTCGACTAAGATTTGCACCGACTCCAAGTTTTCTGATCCATCTTCTATTTTTCTCTGTTTCAAACGACCTAGTTTAGTTTTGAATTGAATTTTTCACATATGAACACATGCATAACGTTGGAGCTTAATGAATGACTACTATTTTGGATAGTAAAGCATAGGCCGGTGGCGTGCAATACTGCGAGTGAGACAAGAGTTATATTCCTTTTGCTCGTGTCTCCACTCTCAACTCGGCCTCATGCATGCATACCTGCATCTTCATGTTTGCCGAATAATAACCTAGCAAATATTCCATGCCGCCCGTAAGGAATGAAATATATATGCTACTCCTTCTGTAAACTAATATAAAAGTGTTTAGATCATTATTTTAATATTCGAACGCTTTTATATTAGTTTACAAAGAAAGTACTTGAAATGGAAATGAAACTAGACCACCATAGCCACAGCCACGTAGTATATATCAGGCTAGCTCGGTTCACACATGCATCTTTTCTACAGTATCCAAATATATTCGTTTCTCTTCCTTGCCGTAGACTCGACTGACATGCTGGTTCTGCATGCAGATGCACATGTGGGGCCACGGGCGGGAGTACCGGAAGGGCCCGGAGTCGCTCAAGGGCGCGGCGGGGCAGTCGACCCACGCGGCGGCGCTGGCGCTGCTGCGGCTGCCGTGCTACTGCTGCGCGGCGGGGTGCCGGAACAACGTGGCCCACCCGCGGGCGCGGCCGCTCAAGGACTTCCGCACGCTGCAGACTCACTACCGGCGCAAGCACGGCGCCAAGCCCTTCGCCTGCCGCCGCTGCGCCAAGCCCTTCGCCGTCAAGGGCGACTGGCGCACGCACGAGAAGAACTGCGGCAAGCGCTGGTTCTGCGCCTGCGGCTCCGACTTCAAGCACAAACGCTCCCTCAACGACCACGTCCGCTCCTTCGGTGGCGGTCATCACCCCGTCGCCCCCGCCGACGCGGCGGCGGCGCCCGCGCCCGCGCAGCAGCGCAGGGAGCGCATCATCCGGTTCGACCAGCAGTGCCACGGTGCCCGTGCGTGAGCTTGACAGATCAATTGACAGGGTTTATTAATTAATTCTTGATCGAACATTAGCTAGTTTTGCGTACATGCGATTGGTATATGCTCCATAGACGCGTACGTACGTAGAAGGTGGGAACAAGGAGCACACACACGCGTGTTTATACATACAATAAGATCATAGAGGTTTGCCGTGTAGATGATAGCTAGGCTGTTAAGTAGCTGAATTTTCTTCTGGGGGAGCTGCAGATACAAGTAGCTTGCGAGGGAGAAAATTTGTCAGCTTCACAGACCAATATTCTTCTGGCAGATTTATAGTATGTATCAAATGTACTATCAAGCTTGCATGATTTCAAATTGTATCTGATTAATGAGATGGACTATCAGTTGTTAACGTCTGACCGGTTGATCATTATTTAGTGATGGCGTGTCCCTTTTCTTGTTTTTCATGAACACATTCCTCATGCAGCTGCATTTTAATTTACCCTCAGTTTTGTTGCTAATATACGAAGAACAGGACCATTATAGTCTCTTTTTTAGACAACGAAAATCACAAATTTTGGTTACAAAAATATTCATACATGCAGGAAATAGATTTTATATTTATAAAAAAGATGATGGATTTAAACATGTCCCTGTTAATTATGATACTCCCTCCAATCCAAATTAATTGATGCAGCTTTAATACAACGTTATACTAAAATTGTACTAAAGCCCTGTCAATTAATTTGCACCGGAGGGTGTATGTAAATATAACCATTTATTGCGCAATGTTATCTATATTTTGTGGTGTAATATAATATATCTTATTATGTGAATGTTTTTCGGATCCTGCAAAACGGGTTCTGTACGCGTTGCCGCAGCATTGAATACTATACACTTTCTAAATATTATGTAGAATATAATTCAAACCCCATGGTTTAAACTATATGAGATTTTTTTATAAGAACAACAAATCTTAACATGAAAAGTTGTACATGTCACAATTAAATGCAGTGTGATTTAAAACTCACTTAGAATGCACTATTGCATGCTGCATGGCGGAGGATTCTCATGTGTAGTCAGACGGATGCTAGTGGATTAGGCTATAAATCTAATGGCTAAAACAATTTTGATGATGTGGAAGCATGCATGTTGAGATAAATAGAAGTGTGGGGATCACTCTCTTGAATATATATGATTCAAAATGACATGTTTTTTTATCCATTCTTGAAATGCATTATTTACATGATATTTCAATAATATGTTTAAGATGAAATATTGTTTTCTCTATAAAATTTAGGGCTCATTTGGGGTTTACATGATTTTCAAATCTGAGGAATAGGAAGAGTAAAGGATTAGGGGTGTCCTGCCCACTCCAATCCTTATGAACTTTTCATGAGATTTCACCTAATGCTAAGAATCCTAAGGAATGAGTTCGGAATGGTCACAGTTCGAAGAAATCTAGTACTTCTATTCCTTCGAAATGAATTCTAAACATAAGAAAATAAAATCCCATGGCTGGAAATATCATATGGAATCCTGTAAAAATTCTCCAACCCGAATGAGCCCTTAACTATGTCGGAGCAATGAGATAGTCATGTACCCCCGAGTTCACCAAAAAACTGTGATATGTTGTAAATACTTGTGCCAATATTATTTCCTCGAATAGATCACGTTCTCCTTTCTGCCCCCTAAATGTGACTATGTGACAACTTTTCTCTCCAGTTATTTTACAAAACTTTCAAAACTAGGAGTGGCTATTTCTCAATTGACTTAGGAAAAGTTATTCCTATATCCTCGTCCTTCTTATCCCTTTGTACTTACACGAATCCCAGTGTTTATATTGCATGGTTCTTATAGTTAGCATGGACCTTAGAAATAAAATAGGATTTTTTTAAAGCTTCTTACTTACCTAGTTGTGACATTTTGACAACTATTGCTTTACTATATTATTTTCATTGAAATGGCAAGCCGGGCCCACTTATTCGAAAGCCAGACATATATTCATTATAGTCATACCAAATTATTTCAAAATTTATTAGATTTCATCAAAAAAAATTCAAGTACGTCAACTTCGTTGAATAGGCTGCACCCCACTAATCATATCCAATGTCATATGTACCACTGACAAACTAAAATTTCTAGTTTCCCAGACAATCAACTACAAATAGCATCATGTGTTGTGGGCCCGCCTTGTAAATTTGGGGAAATGACAAAAAAGATGGTTGAAGGCCATAGCAAGGGACCACAACTTAGGGTAAAAATGTAGTTGCATTTTTGTTGTCTCCTCCAGGTCATATTTGAAACAGGGGAGAACTTGGTTATATTTTGTTTCTTTCTAGGGTGATTTGCATTGTGTTGTAACAGTTTTATTTGTATAGATCTAATTCTTGGACCTTAAAATAGGTGTGGTGGTGGTGGTGGGTGGGGGGGGGTGGTAAAATGTGATACGATTTTTAATTGGGTAAATGTTGTCACAAGGTCGCAACTAGCATGTAACATGTAGAATGCACATAGAAAAATATTTGCATTAGAACACGTAAATTGTTTGTGCGTTTTATCTTAGAAAGTATTTTCATAATATATAGCGTGGAAGTTGTTAATCCTACCAGGGATCTCACCTTATCCTACATGACATATGTGTGGGATTGTAAAAGTCAAGTCAACAAAGCCCCCAACAATTTATCATGGTCTAGAAGTAAAAGAAGAGAAGAAGATAAAGGAATAATTATAGAGATAAAACCTCAAGACAAAGAAGCACATTAGGTTAAGAGAAACTATGGACTATAGACCGCCCTCTTTCCTATCCCACGATATTGGTGCACAAATTAACTACCTTATCTCTCCTACCTACAACCTCAAGGGTACTTGTCGGTGTCAAAACCGGCGGATCTCGGGTAGGGGGTCCCGAACTGTGCGTCTAAGGCGGATGGTAACAGGAGGCAGGGAACACGATGTTTTACCCAGGTTCGGGCCCTCTTGATGGAGGTAAAACCCTACGTCCTGCTTGATTAATATTGATAATATGGGTAGTACAAGAGTAGATCTACCACGAGATCAGAGAGGCTAAACCCTAGAAGCTAGCCTATGGTATGATTGTATGTTGTAGTTGTTGTTGTCCTACGGACTAAAACCCTCCGGTTTATATAGACACCGGAGAGGGTTAGGGTTACACAAGGTCGGTTACAAAGGAGGAGATACACATATCCGTATTGTCTAGCTTGCCTTCCACGCCAAGTAGAGTCCCATCCGGACACGAGACGAAGTCTTCAATCTTGTATCTTCATAGTCTAACAGTCCGGCCAATGGAGATAGTCCGGCTGTCCGGAGACCCCCTAATCCAGGACTCCCTCAGTAGCCCCTGAACCAGGCTTCAATGACAATGAGTCCAGCGCGCAGTATTGTCTTCGGCATTGCAAGGCGGGTTCCTTCTCCGAATACATCACGTAAGAATTGGAATACAAGGATAGTGTTCGACCCTGCAAAATAAGTTCCACATACCATCGTAGAGAGAATAATATTTTCACAAATCTAATTTGCTGACTTGTTTTGGCAGCACGACATTATGTCATGGCCCGGTGATTATTCGAACCGTTTCCTTTAACTAGCCTCGCACATAACGCGAGGCAGTTTTTTGACACGTCTTGTCAAAGCAAAGATCGTGTCCCCTTATTACGGGATTCTCATCAATACGGGCGTGGGTAACCCAACCGTATCTAGGACTCCTAGATTATAGGCAAGTCTCAAACGGCTATGGAGAGGACGCTTGATATTCACCCTCTTTATAAAGGGACAAGGCTTTTACTTTTTTCCCTCCCGTGCTCAGTCGAATCCCTCCCCCGCCTCGAGTTCTAACGCCCAAAGCCCAGGTCAGGTGCTTCGGATCTTCAATCATGTCCGGATCTAGCCTTCAAGGCCGGTGGATGCCCTCCTCCGTTACGGAAGAAGACATCAAGAAGTTGAGGGAGGCTAGATACCTGACCGCCGAGGTTTCGCATCGGCTGCCTGCTCGAGGGCAGGTCGTCCATACTCCTGAACCCAACGAAGACATCGTGTTCATCTCCCACTTCCTCCGAGGACTAGGCCTCGCTCTGGATCCCTTCGTTAGGGGGTTGATGTTTTATTACGGGCTAGATTTCCATGATCTAGCCCCGGACTCCTTTCTCCACATCTCGACATTCATTGTCGTGTGTGAGGCCTTCCTCCGCATTAACCCCCACTCCGGCCTGTGGCTCAAGACCTTTGATGTGAAGCCGAAGATGGTCGAGGGGCAGTATGCAGCGTGCGGAGGCGCATTATTAAGCAAGATAGCAGGAGCTCCGTGGCCCAAAGGTTCCTTTCCAGAGGTGTCCGGATTATGGCAATAGGAGTGGTTTTACATCACAGCTCCCAGAAGTGCCAAGTGGGTGGCTGCCCCTGCTTTCCGCTCAGGCCCTCCACCATAACTGATGTCATGGATTAGCAGAGGGCCGAGCTGGGGTCCTGCCAAGGACATGCCTGTACTGCAAAGCCGCAGCCAAAATCTCTTCGAAGGAGATTTCAGTTTGATTATGGTGGCGCAAGTCATGTTGGTTCGTCGAGTCCAGCCTTGCAAACGCCGGCCCCTCCGCATGTGGGAGTTCAACCCAGAAGGGCCGCATACTATTCAGAATTTCCTCGGCCTGACGCACGAGGAGATGTACAAATCATTCTTCAGACCCCAAATAGAGTGTCCGGATACTACCGAGGACGTGGGCCTGAGTAGCAACCGCACCGCTGACCAAGTAAGTTATCCTCTAGCCGAATACACCGTCTTTCATTTATCATGACGTTATTCTGAGAAATCGCTCTTTGACCAGGACTGGATAACAAAGGCGAAGATGATTCCTGAGGGTTTGGAAAATCCGGTACTAGAAAAGATGCTCGAGCTAGCACCTTGCCTGGAGCCCTCAAAGGAAGACAAAGGGGGGAATAATGAGGGCGAAAGCGGGCCTCCATCGCTACCTATTCCGACCAAGGGAACGAGCGCCTCCGTGAGGGAGGATAACCGAGGGTAGGAAT